GCGAGCGGCAGCGCCAAGGTTTCGGGCGCCAGTCCAGGGGCGCCGCCCGCCAGCTTGGAGGCGATGGTGGCCGCGTACGAGGGCGGCGGCGACATGGTGTGCAGGAGTTCCTTCTGCCTGTCGGGGCTGCCCGGCTCGGAGCTGGGCGGCGAGGGCGGCAGGTAGGCCGCCTGCTGCTGCTGCTGCTGGAAGAAGTGGGCATGCGGGCGTGAATACGGGGGGCCGCCGCAGAAGGAAGACTTAGCAGTCTGATCTGGTTGGGTGCTACGGAAGGGCGTGTGGACGGCGGAGGAGTGCGGAAGGTGCTGCTGCTGCTGCTGAGGGTTGGGATGATGGTGAGCATCCATGCCGTCGCCATGGTGATGCTCCAAGCCCGAGATCAGGAGCTGGAAGAGCGAGGCGCCGCCGTCGTGCTGGTGAAGCTGCTGCTCGAACGGCGACGACATCTCCTGTTTGATGAACACCTCCGGCAGGGCCTCGCTGCCCGGCTGATTGAAAGCGCTGGTGAAGTCGGGCAAGCCCGTCATGTTGGCCTCCAGGGCGCCGCCGCAGCTACTCGTGGGCACCTGGAGGTTCTGAGAGAAGCACGGCTCCGCCGTTTCCGTCTTGATCTGAACGAGGTCCCCGTGGGGCTGAGGGGGCCGCGGCGGCTGGGCCAAGCCCGGTCTCGGGTAAGCCACGTCGGGCAGGAAGAGATTCATGTTGAGGGTGTAGGGCGCCTCCCCGAAAAAGTGATCCACCCCTGCGGCGCTTTCTCTTTGGGCCTTGAGAGTGTCTGCAAGTGGCTCCGGGGAGAGATAGCGGTCCATCTCACACTTTGCCTGAAGGAAGGAAGGACACACACACACATGCACACAAAAAATAAGCATTTCACTCAGCTTCTGATGAGGTGTCACAGAACCATTCGAGGTTTGATTGGCGTGTCACCACACAGACATTTATCAAGTAGTCATCGATAGGCGGCTGCCACATTCCCACTCTGCCTGCAAGGCTGAACTCAGAAACCTGCCTGCGCTCCACTCTTGAGTGCTATGACTTTGCACATTCGCTTGCAAATCTAACCCGGATTTGAGTTTGCAGAAAGGGAGAGGGGAATACCCCAGCATGCTTCCGTGCAGGAGTCGTCGACCGGGGTGGGCTCCTGCTACTTCTTAGCCCGCCGAAGCGGCTGTTCCGCGGTGCTCTCGCTTGAGTACGCTCTCTGCGGCAGCAGGCCGGTCAAGAGTTAGCGGGACCTTTCAGACCTGGGTCAGTTGTTGCCAACCGACAACTGCTCGCCAAGTGGCCGCGCTTGCACAACGCGAAAAAATGCAGGGGGATGCCTAGCGCGTTCACCGCAAATGGTTCACGATGTATTTAAAAAAATAAAAAAATCCGAGAGCGTGCACGGTTGAAATGGTGTGGCAGGCCGGTTAGGAAAAACAGCCGCCACGCCCATTGAACCCCAAACACAATCGATCACAATCCGACCAAGAGTGCGAGCTGTGTGGTGTTGTTTTTTTTTTTTTTTTTTTAATACCTGCGTGTAGACGCCGTGTCCGCCTCGGTCCGACTCGCTCATCTTGAACTCCAAGCCGAAGTCCTCCAAGTGGAATCCTGCGGGCAAGGACGCCTTGTGCAACGGGTAGAAGGGCTCCTCGTGCCCGCCACCGCCTCCGCTCATCGCCAATGTCGCAGCCATTGAGCTCCCAAAAGGGAAGGAAAAAAAAAACCCCAAAACAAACAAGAACCACTCGAAACGAGCCCCGTTTCAAAACGCCGAAAAGAGAAGGAAGAGGAGGAGGATGCTACAATCGAGCCGGGGGAGGGAGTGGAACCGGACGATCTTGCTCACATCCCCGTTTGCACTTGTCTCGCCTCCTCCAGCGGCCCACCATCAGTTTTCTAAGCGCGGCGTGCAGGGCGGAGCGGGCCTGGTGTAAATAGAGCACTCGCACCGCCCACCAGACCTTTAAAAGGCTGCACATCACTCATTCAAACGCGGCCACCGCCCTGAACTCGCTGTCGAAACACATTAACGACGCGCAGCCGCAAGGGTAAATCAAGGTGGAACAAACCTTTCCACGTTCGAATTACAAATCATTTTACGCGAGGGAATTGAAGTGCAACGCGTTAAAATTGGGGACAAACGACATGTAAGACATTCGCATTGCCTTGAGTCCATAAAAAGTTTTTTGTTGTTGAAAGTCAGCGATGTACGCCGGAGTTTCGTTTCGACCTCAACCATGTACCCTGATTTTGAATGGACAGTATGACGGTGACGCAATCAATCAACAATCAATGGAAAATCTTAAGTACGGCGGTGACTGAGCCTGCCTCCTTGTGACAACGTATTCTTAAACTACGGGCAATTTTTTTTTTTTTTAACTCGTAACCTCGAACCGGCAAACATTGATGATTTTACGAGAGGTACAATGGCAATTGTATTCACATGAATGGCTATGGACCATTGGTATGGTATTGTGTAAACAAACACAGTGCAGCTCAACCGCTAGCAGCTGCCAGAGGTTGAGCGAGAAGCAATAAATAAGCTTTTGGCACTCCTCTATCTATCTATCAGAAGTGTTCAGTGTTTGGCCAGTGATAAAGCGAGTGCGGAGATGTGCCAATCCCGCCTCACATTTATTGTTTTGCTTGAGTTTGGAAAGAGCCACGATGACACACACTTACAACATTTTTCCTCAGAAGAAACAGAACAAACGAATGCCCGTCTGTCAGCATTGGCGCGAAATCCAGGAGGATGCCAGCCAAGTCTTAGGTTTAGCCTGAAGATTAGCGCAGGCATTACCGAGTAAGAGTCAAAAGCGGACGAGAATGTAAAAAAAAAAATAAAAAAAAGGGGGACTGCAAACTGGCGGGGAACCAAGGAAGGAATTCCGGCACTGTTGTTCAGCAACGTACCGTGCAGAATAATCAATGTGCAACAGCAGCTGCACTGAACTCCTAACTACCAGGTGGCTTTCCCTTTTATACTATGAGGTAATGTAAAATATGCCAATCATCCAATTCAAGAATAATGCGGCAGGCAACCGATGAGAAGATGGATGAGCACAATAACAGCGACGTGTGCCAGGAAAAATGAATACTTGGGCACTTTTGCGAACAATGTGTTACCTGAGGAGAATCTGACTGCGTGGGAGAACGACCAGTCACGACTATTCCAAATCCCATAAAATGTTTATGAATTAGAAAAATGATGTCAAAACATTTTAATGTGATTAAAAAAAAACAAACAAACCAAAAAAAAAAAACCCTCCACAAATGAGTCACTTTGGGGGCTTCTGCTTGACTTTTTGGAACCAATCAGGAGCTTCTCTTTTTGTCTGCAAATAAAACGGAGGACATTTTGATTAGGAGCATGACATTTTTTTTTTTTTTGTGAGTGGTTACCTAAAAAAGTTGAATGACAGTTTTTTGGGTGGTTATCCAAAAAGTTTCAAATAATTAGGTGAAGGTATCTTGTTTCAAACAATAGGTATGTGATAACCCAGCTAGCTGGCTGGCTGGATAGCTAGCTAGCTGGCTGGTTGGCTATCTAGCTAGCCACCTACCTGTCTGTCTTTATATAAATTCAGTTGATGCAATTTCGTCTTGCATTATACTGTACTCCCATTTCAAATATAGGTACATCGCAATAAATAAGAAAAGCGAGGAGAAATGTAGTTTATTTTAGTAGTTCAATTTGAAAAGTGAAACAGTGAAATGATTCACGATTCTCTTTGGGAATTTTGACGATTCTACATTAAAACCAAAAAGTCACCATCTCTGGCTAACACAACATTAGATGAGAGCCAATTAAAAACACATTTTACGATAGAGCTTGAATAGAAATTGGCCTCCTGACAAGCATTTTCTTGATTTTAGTCACCTGTATGGATTTACAGCGATGTGTTTCACATTTTGTATTGACTGAAAGGAGTGAAATTTTCTACAGCACTCTAATTTATTAGGATGCACCAGTATGTCAACCCCAAATCAACACAATCATAAAGCCGGATAAGTGATGAATGTCTCACCTCCACTTTTCGCAACAGGAGGGGTAATTTGACTATAAATTTGGGACTCTCTCACAACTGTTGCTCGAATGAGACCCAACTGGCAACCCCCCTCCCCCCTGCCAACCGAGTGTGTCTCCCTTGCCTCGGTTGAGGAGATGAGCCTCACGCCTCGTCCAACACTTACAAAAACGGTGGGTTTAGGTTTGCCGGGCGACTCGTCCTTGGCGGGCCCGCTGTCCCGCTTCTTGCCTGATCCGGCGGTCCCTGGCTTGGCTTTGTCCACCTCCAAGGGGCTGAGGGCGTTTTCTTGTTGGGAGCGCATACTGATCAGCACCTGTTTCATCATGGCTAACTCCTGCGGGATCATACGCGGGCGACGTGTTAGACCTCATATTGTGTCTTTTTATGGATCAGAACTATTTGCCTAGAGCAGTGTATCCCAACTTTTATTAAGTCAAGGCGCATATTTTACACTGGAAAAAAAAAACATGGCACATCATCTAAAAAAAATGTTTAAGAAAAACTTACAGTATATACAGTAGTGTTTTTTAATGAGTTTTTACATGTTTAGCCGGAATTTTAGAGTTGCACACGTTTCGTGTCGTAACACGTTGTGATGCAACATGCCGCACAGCACAGAAGTCACAGCAAGAGATGCAGCATAACGGACGGCAACAAGAGGAGGCAGAGAAGGTCCCCAACTAACTTCCAGTAATGTTCATTGACTTCAAAAAGCAGAGAGAAATGACTGTGTATTGTTGAGGGCTCTGTTTGTATGCGTTGCTCAAGTAACAGTTTGCTCAAAGGCACGTGAATACCAAAATGTCAGCCAGTCTGTGGCATTTCCACATTGCATGTTAGCATTAAAGTAGCGGACTTTCATTAGAATAAGTTACATGGTTTTCATGAACATTTTGGTTTTGAAATATACAATGTTTAATGTGTCTTTTGTTTCATGTGCCTGTTTTACAGTAAATCTTCAACTGGGAGTGACAAACAAACAACTTGACGCAAGCATATTTTGTGTGAGCAAGAGAGTGAGAACAGGTGCTGAGGAATACGTTAAAAAACATAAATGTCTAAAACGATTTTAGTATTTTTTTTCTCCATATGGTCTCTGTATGGCAGATTTGTACCCATTTCAGATAGGCCGGGAAGGTCCCCTCCCCACGGCGATAAACAAAACGTTTCTATTCAAATAAGGATGTCTCAATTTACGCACAAATGTTCTCATTCATTGTGAATCGCGGGCCTATTTAGTTGAACACAAATTGTGTTTTCCTGTTGTATGAATGGCAACAGGCAGGTGGATTGTACCTTCTGCCATCAACTGAAAGAGCACTTTAATTGCTCCGCCTGTCACTATAAAGCGCCGACATACGTGAACAAGAAACATTGTCGTGAGTAAAGAATAATTTTCCGACCAATTATTGAAAATGGGATCATTTCCCACAGCGCACCCGATGATCTCTCATGGCACACTTAGGCGGTTGCCAATCAGTGGTCGAGAAAGAGCTCTTCAAGGGGACCCCGGGGCTCGAACGAGCTTCAAGGATCGTGTTTGGTGCAGGAGGGTGGACTCTGATCCATTTTGCTGTTCTATTTATCACCCCTGAGGACATGAGCCCTGGCATGTCACACACACGCAGCAACGCGGCGCGCGCGCACACGCACGCTGCGGTGGCATCTCAAACAGGCAGGCGGACGAACAGCTGTCTGTGACAGGGCACATACTTCATACAGCAAACGGCAAGCACTGGGTGGGGGTGGCGGGGAGACCTGTTTTCACGTGCGCGCGCACGCACACATAATCGTAAAGGAATTATTGCAACACAGTGAGAGAACTCGTCTGGTGTGAAAAGCCTGGACGTTTGTTTTAAATGTGACTCCCGCAGAGTGAAAAGAGGCAAACAGGCACGACTGGCTTAATCAGTGCTTTGTTGGTTTGAGGCCTTCGATGTAAATGTGAGGCTTTTTGGCCTGATGACATTTGTCAGAAAAACACAGCAATGTACGCCCAAGGCTGATTCGCTTCTCACCGTTCACCTGCTTGCGCCTTTTTTTTCCCCCCTGTGAAAAAATAACTATCTGACGAAAAACACTAATTGGGGCGTTGCCGTAGATTTTTGTACTGCTGATGTAGCACCTTATAAGGCACCAGGCTCGGTGAGGAGTAGCTAGCCGTAGAGTCGTGAGCTGTCGTGACGGCGAACAGCGGCGTGACAAAAAGATATCAGTAGACGTTTGACAGGCAGGCGAGCTCCTCCGCCAAAATTTGCATTTTACGAGCGAACTTCATATATGCTGCCGCTTCAGGGAAGTGTGCGTGTGTGTGTGGGTGAAATGTAATAGCGAGTGACAGTTGCCAATGCACTTTGAGCCGTTAATTGTACGGAACAGTCAATTTTCTCTAAGGCAGTGGCTCTCAAACTTTTAACGGCGAGTTCTAACATCAAAAAAAGAGTTAGCTCTTGAAGTATCATCATAACCAACATTAGCCTCCAGTAGCATGGCAGGCCTAAATATGTCTCAAAAAGAGGTTTTATTCCAAAAGTTATAATATTATCAGAAAAAATATGTATTCTTCTAAGAATATAGTTTACAAGAAAAATTGAAGTCATAATATTATGAGGCAGCATCAGAAAATGAGATGAGAACAAAGTTGTGATATTATGGGGAAAAACAGCCTCCAAGTTTATCGGAAATAAAGTCGAGGGAGGAAAAAAAAAATCAACATTATCGGTGACTCATATCAGAAAAATCACCGTGCTTTGTGGGTGTATTTAGGGTTGAAATGGTGAATACGGGCAATGTTAAACTTTTGAAGGAAGGGACATCATCACAAGTACCTCCCGATGGTTGAGGAGCCGCTCCAAATCGGCGGCCATGTTGTTCTTCACCTGCAGCAGAGCCGTCCGCTCTTTCCTCAGAGAACTGCTGACACATGGGAGCGAACGTTAAAAAGATAACATGACAGCGGTCAATTTATGAAACGAGTCAGACAGTGTGAGGATGACTAAGAGTGAGTCAAGGCAAACTGCAATTGTGCGCCATTCACTTCATCCGGAGGTGGCTTTTTTTTTTTTTTTTTTTTTTTTGGTATCAGGGTGGGGTCTGATTAGGAACATTGCATAAAAAGTCTGCTCACAAACTACGCTGCATGCGTCATCATTCTAATGACACAAGTAGGATGAACGTTAAAGAAGACATGAATGTACTATGACCCCGCATAAATATCAAACATGCTCCCAGGCAACTGTCGAACGTGTACAGGTGCGCGTCCAAAAATAAGAATAACATAAAGAGTTGATTTATTTCAGGCATCCGATTCAAAACTTGTGCAACAGACACATTCATTCCACATTATACCTGAAAGCTTATTAAAAATAAATAAATAAATAAAATCACTATCTCAAGAAAGTTTTAGAACACCAGGTACTGATAGCTTTGGTACTGTGTGCAGGCGCCAAGTCCTTCTGGAAAATTAAATCTGCATCTCCATAAAACTGGTCAGCAGCAGGAAGCATCAAGTGCTCTAAAATTTCCTGGTCGACGGCTGCGTTGACCTCGGACTTCAGGAACGATAAAGGACCAACAGCAGCAGATGCCACGCCACCCCAAAGCATGACTGACTGTGGAAATTGGACACTGGACCTCAAGCGACGTGGATTCTGTGACCCCCCCCTCCCCCCGCTTCCTGGGAATTTGGCATTGGTGCCGGCAGCCACAACGTAGGCTCAATAAAAGTAGAGCATTCAAAACAAATGAGGCCACTGTAATACAGTCATGTGACATTCCACGATGCGCAATCAACAGCGAACCGACGTGCTAACTAGTTAGCCTTCCGTCCTGACACGTCACCTGAAAGTGACTTGAGAGTAGTGCAGCCCCGAGGCCTGCTTATGTAACAGACATCACCAAATACCTCCTCTTTTTTTTTTTTAAGATGGGAAGTGACCCCCCTGGACTGGTTATTGGCCAATTAGAGGGGACAAATAAACAAAGGAGCATTTCCACTCAAGGTCACACTTGGGGAGGATTTTGTATCTGACTGGCTCTTTGGGATGGCATTTTTGCGCCATTTGCATCGGACTACGGAGAGTCATTTCCTGCATGCAAATTCTACACAGGAAGGCCGTAGATGAGATCTGAACCTCGGGAGCACGCAACCGTGCGACGCATTCTTCACATAAATGTGGTCAAAGACTGTTTCTGTCCTAATTGCACATTGTGTGGATTTCCATGCAGTTTTAATGACCCACTTGGAATTAGAAAGGTGCCAAAGCCATGGAGGAAGATAAAGCGGAGCTACATAACCCCAAGGAATGGGAGAGATGGAAGACGGCCAATCGGAGTCTTTTAAAGTGGAACAAATGAAATCAAGCTAATTGCCGCAAATTAAAAGGTGCGCCAATATATGGTGGAGGGTGCGCGTAAGCGTGAGAGAGTGCGCGCTTACGTGACGTCGTCCTCGAGCGAAGCCACGCGTTGCTTCAGGGTGTTGATCTGTCCCTCCTTGTGTCTCACCGTCTCGATCAGGTAGCTGTAGGGCTGCTGCGTCTGCTCCAGCAGCTGGTTGGCTGCGCACAACTGCACAGAAATCAGTCAGCTCAAGCGCGGCATATCACAGTCGGAATTATTTGGCTCGAGCTGCGTCGGCGTTGTCTTGCGTGCTGTCCACTGTTAACTAGTAAACCCCCCAAAACAAAACGGGATTTAAGTGTGTACTTAGCTTTATTTCAAGGGGCCTTGTATAAATATCACACAAGGCCCCTTTAAAGTGATTGATAAGGTGAGCAGTCTGGACTGGATTTTCATGTTTTGCTTCCCATTCTGCCAAACGCTGCATAATTCTGGGCCATGGCCGAGCCGTTAGGAATCCCCCTTCCCTAAACTGCCTCCATCCGGGGACAGTTCTTTTTTTTCGGTGGGGGGGAGAGAACTATGGAACGGAGACTATGAGCGAAGGGTTCCCAGACGCAACTCTCCATGAATGCATTATGCTAAAAATGATGTCACAGTTCCCAGTCGGATGGCTCCAACTTGGTGAACCAACATCATGTCCACGGTTACTTTGGTTTCCCGAAGCAGTAGAGGCTTTGCTGAGCCTTTGTGCATGGCATTTCTATATTGCTGTTAAAATGAAGACTAACGTCCAGATATTTGTAGCTCAGCTGACTTGTGATGTGAACCAGCAGTAGATGAGGAGGCCGAAATGCATTGAATTGACGAGGCGGCGAATGCAGAGGCAAAAGCGACGTTGCGGTGCTCTTGTGTTCGTTTGCTATCTGGCCTAAAATCTGGGGAGGGGAAACAGATAAAGTCTGTTTGTTACACATTAAACCACTTTTACAGCCCACAACAGGGCGAGCAAAAGCGGGTAGGAGGGCAAGGCGAAGTGGGTGGGAGGTTGAGGACAATAGCAAAGCTCGTCAGGGCGTCTGTGTGGGTGACGAGGCGGCTTACACCCTTGGCTTTTCTGAGAAGAGAAACTGTAATTTTTCACGCGCTCCTTTCATAGTCAGTGAATCATAAGGTATTCCTGATGAATGCCAGTCAGTCTTAACTGACAGGTGAATGGCTGGTTTATTTAGCCTCAAGTGGGGCCCCGCCTAGTTACTCTCAACCATTTCAACACTCGTGCGACTCGAAAAGCTTTCGAAAAAAATTTACTCGATTAAAAAAAAAAAAAAAAAAAAAAAATTCAGCCTGATATTGACTTTCAAATTGCCGCGCGAGCATGGGACGTGCGAGCATGCACACACGTCCGGAATTCGAGTCTCCGCTTTGCACATCAACAAAGTCAACACAACAAAACATAAGCCTCTGCGATTGGTGCGTCGACGTGCTGAGAGAGGATAAGACCGCCGCAGTCACGGTTTGCAGCCCTGCTTTCCCTCTGAGTCAACAATTGTGACAGACAGGCACTACCACTCCCGGCTTCTCACACTTTCTCGCCTTCGCTGTTGTGTTTGCCGCCAAACAAAATCTTGGCATTTTCGTGACAGGCCCAATACGGTGTGCCAGACTAATTTCAATACCAGTGGCGGCGGGCCCCTGCGATGCCACGAGGGCAAGGGGGAAGATGACGGGAGAGTAGGCCGCGTGGATGGCGGTGTGAGAACTGTTATGCCATCAAAACACTCGTAGCAAACCATTCGGGCTCTGGGGAATCTCCATGGTGCCCGCGTGCGGGTTGGAAGACCAAGTTAGGAAAGTGCAGGTGTGGACACAAAGGCGCGAAAGTTGCAAAGCAACACGCAGCCCATTGTAGTGAACTCCGTAGCGCCTCGCTCGGTGTTTACCTCCTCGGATATCTGGCCTGTTTGGGACTGGTGTCTCTCCAAGTCTCTCCTCAGCGATGTGTTCTGCCTCTCCAGCTGGAGCACCCTGCGGGCCAGGTGAACACTGCACGCGCACACACGCACACACACACACACACACACACAAAGAGTGAGGAGAAAATTCCAAAACACTGCAAGTTACCACTAGTGTTACTTCAGTATTTCCCTCATGGGTTATGTAACCATGACAGATGAGATCAATATGAACTTTTTTCGCCACTTGTGTTGACTACCAAAAAAAGTGCGCATGGACTATCAAAACACATTCAGGACACACACATGCAATACAAGTCGCAACACAGTGAGTAGTAGGAGAAGGCGAGGCGGGGGCGGGACCGAGGGGGGGGAGTCGCGGTGCCTATGTGCAGATGATGGCAGTATATCACACAGCCAGACGTCGACATTTGGCAATGAGAAGAGAAAAAGTCAAGAGGAATTTGTGCTGGTATGAAGGCTGTCATCCACCCGGGCAGGTTTAATGCCACTGCAAACACGAGCGGTAGAGGAAGCACTTTGTCACCTGGCACACAAAGGAGCAACTCACTCTGCTTGAATAAATTCATGTTTTCACTGAGAACCGATGCAAAGATAAATATACACGTGTGTGTGTGGCTGCTCTCAGGGTGATGCAAGCCGACACGAGTTGCTAAGACGACACGAGGTCACGGATTTGATTTGTACCGATCGCGGTGTTATTGAGTTATTTGGAGTTTTGCATGAGAAAAGGAAAACCTCATACCTCAAGGGATTCGAGCATAATACGTGCGGCCTGGGACTCACTGGGCTAACGTGTTTGATGGATGAACTTGCATCTTGAAAAGTGTTCTTTTGGACTACCGCGATGCCTTGAGGTATCAGTTTAATTCTTTCCGTAACTTCAAACAAACTGATCTCAAATCATCTCCCTCCAGTGAAATGTAGGGAAATGCCATCAATCTGTTCCAGCCTTCGCCAAAGTAAAACACAAATCTGTTTTATAGTATTCGATAATATTGCCCTTCGTTAAAAAAAAAAAAAAAAAAAAAAAAAAAACTTTTTCAAAAAAAAAAAAAAAAACTTTTTCAAAAAAAAAAAAAAAAACTTTTTCAAAAAAAAAAAAAAAAACTTTTTCAAAAAAAAAAAAAAAAACTTTTTCAAAAAAAAAAAAAAAAACTTTTTCAAAAAAAAAAAAAAAAACTTTTTCAAAAAAAAAAAAAAAAACTTTTTCAAAAAAAAAAAAAAAAAAAAAAAAAAAGAACAACAACAATTGAAAGAGGATGTACCGAATTCAAGTTCGATGAATTCATTGTGGCTCCCTCTGGTGTTTGCAACTTGGACACCAGGGGCAGTATAAGAGCTTCACGACAACCGTTAATCGTTTTTTTTCACAGATGATGAAGAATATATGCATGCAGGTATTTTTCGATTGCATGTCTACGTTCTGGCGATGTGCCATTCGGGTTCAAATATGAATTGCTAGAAGCGTAAATCTAGGGCCTGACTCATATGGATTTTTTTGAGGCCGATGCGGATGCGCGGCAGAAGAAAAATCTGATAACTAATTAAATTTTAAAAAGCTATCATAAAAAAGAACCCTTTTTTTGCTCCCTTGACACTTAGACCAATGAACAGATGAATTACAAGCAGCACATTTGAATGTATAACAACACCTTGTCCTATATTATTAGTTGAACAACAGGTAGAAAAATCTTCAAAAACGGTCCAACCGTGGCACTTTGAAATAAGCCAAAGATGTCTTTTATGAATAGTCTGAAAGTAAACTGCACCCGGGAGTGGCTTGAAACAGCTTGATGCCTCTTTTGAAGACTTGCTCACTATCTGGCATCATGCTGTTTGTTGTGAATTGAGTTGTGTACGCCTTTTAAAGTCAGAGAAGAAAACACAAAACCGGACGGTTCGAACTGCCCTTATGCTATGCGAAGACTTTAGCACGCAAATATGCATTTGTTGATGTCATTTATTCCAGGTGAGGAACCAGTCTAAACAAGGAGAAGAAGTTCCACTGTCGCAGTAATACGCAGTGTGTTATTGTGTGCGTTTCTGTTTTCTTTGTGTGGATATTCCCAGCTGTGTGCGGTGTGCCTCAGGGTCCGTACCTCTGCTGAAGTCTCCTTCTTGCCGTGGTGGGAACGTTGGCTCCGTAGCCGTATGAGAAGAGGACCCTCTCTGCTTCCTCCTCGTTCTCGACTGGACAGACACCAAAGCAAACACGAGCTCGTCAGCAAAGATTGTTGAACGTACGGTCGATATAGAAAGTCTACACACCCCTGTTCACATGCCAGGTTTTTGTGATACAGTATACAAATGAAGCCAAGATAAATCCTTTGAATTTCTTTTCCCCTCCACCACTGACGTGACCGGACATTACTCATTAAAAAAAAAAAAAAAAAAAGACATCTTTCAGAAATGAGAAGTAAAAATAAACAACTGAGATCATGTGGTTGTATAAGTGTGCACACCCTCTAAAACTGAGGATGTGGCTGTGTTCAGTAGTCACCAATCACCCCCTCCTCATGTTAAGTTGGAGTCAGAACACAGCTAACACCATTCAACGTGCCTCAGAATAACCCCGAATCGAATGAGCGTGCCTGTCCGGCAACCGATGACAACCAGTGAGCGGCCTCACTTTCGGCAGCCTGCATGGTGACCTGGTCCAGCTCCTGCTCCAGTTTTTCGTACGTCTCCAGTCGGGACGCCTGCTCGGCATTCTGAGCGTGAAGCTCCGCCGTGCGTTTCTCTGATGACGTCTGCAGCCTGTAAAACTCCTGCGTCAAAACCTGCCGCAGAAATGGAAACAAAGAAGAAACTGATACTCTGCTTCCATTGTGCATTTCGGTTCAGTGGTCACCAAATATTTAGATTTTGAAATATAGCGGATCGGAAAGACACAGCATTCGCAAAAGTTGCACTGATCCCAGTATATGTTTGACACGAAAACACCATATTTTCTTCCAAATGTTAGGGTATTATGTTGTTGTTTTTTTAATTGTAATTTGTGTTCAAAATTCAACTAAGTTCTCACGAAAACCATTTCTTTTAGTGTACCGTAATTTGTTCAGATGGCAAATTTTGTGTTTTTGTGATTGAACTACAGAAATAAACTTAAAAAATAAAATTCTACAATATTCCAATTCATTGAGATGGCGGCTGTAGAATACAGAAGGAAAAACTGTTTCTGAGCAACCCCTCAAATGTTATTTAGTCCCATACTTGATGTACAAAAATGGTCACGGGCGCCGTGCAATTTTGTGTATGAAAACAACAAGAAAACCAGGGAGCTAGTCGCCAGCCGTCTCACATCAAAAGATGATCTATGACTTTCTTTTCAGTTTTCTTGGCTCTTCTTAATTACTTTTTTCCTGAGAACCGCTCGGAGGCAAGCGCGCAAGGCAAAAGAATGAAGGAGCTATCGTGAGTGCTGTCTGATGACTAAAACGAAAAGTGTTGCGAGAGTGTTGAAAGAATTGTGTCTTGATGACGAAGGCCCGCTGACAGGTTGGCAGAAAAAAAAAACATAGCAACGGTGGATGAGGGAGAACAACTTTCAGACAAAAATTAGGCGGCCGCTCATCTATGTAACGTTACAGCCCGGTCGGCGAGTACTTGACTTCTCAGTCCTACTGAATGTATCAAAAGTTATTCTCGCCCTTTGTAGTCTCCGCTGAGGGGACTCTGTGATGTTTTTTGGGAGTACTGTACCTCCAGTTTTTTGCGCAGCTTCTCACACTCCACCTGGCACTGGGCCAGAGCCTTGTCCGTCTCTTCCTTCATCAGCTGAGCGCGCTCGGCTTCGAAGGAGTGCAGCTTGGTCTGGTTGGATAACTGCGCGACCCTGCTGTCGGTGCCGAGCTGCAGCTGGCGAAACCTGCCGGGTGGGAAAGGGGGACCGCAAAAGAACTTGCATGACTTTTGCGCACTGAAGTATTTGGATTTTCGAAATTGAAGCGTGACGTCATGGGGGCCGCGCACTAGTTCAAACATTTTGAACAACAGTTTTTCAAAAATCACTGAATGGCACGGGGCTCGAAAACGAGTTTTTACAGGCAGTGTAAAAACACGCTCCTCTCCACCTATCGCCAACACTTTTCGATGTTGCAATCGACGAGCTGTAGAGTGAAAACAACTACTACGGATCTGTCTGTCTGGTAGACACAATAAAATACGGTGATTCACAAGATAGCATCTTCAATCATAAAAAGCCATGAGGGGAGTAATCATCCACTTCTCTTTCAAAAACACACCACTTGGCAAGTGCGCTGTTGCTCAACAGGACTGCCGAGTCTTCAAATGTCAGAATGAAGAGAAGCGCCCACAGCGATGCTTGGCCTCTTTTGATGTTCGGTGATTGCGTTTGGCAGTCGGCACAGGCAACTTAATGAGAGCGAAATGGCGGGACCTTGTGTTCTCAGATCACACAATTTGGAGTGAAAAGTGGCGTAGCCCGTGAACTTGCAAGCTAGCACGCAAAGCCTTAAATCTTGCGTACCATCTTAAAAAGAAGTCAAGAATAACTATCTAAGTGTATTTATTTTAAATTTCGGTACAGATTTTAGGAAGCATCATGGAAGTTGACATGCTTGATTGGCTTTCATGGGCCACATAAAACGACGGGGCGGGCCAGATTTGGCCCCCGGGCCTTGAGTTTGACACCTATGATCTACGGTAATTTAATTAAGTTGTCAGGGAAAAATGTTTTTGGATTCGAGCGCTCCGGAGATGTAAAAGCGAAGCGACGTACACGACTCGTTCTGGATACTCGGGGTTCAGGTTACATGAAGCCAGAATGAAGGTGAACCTTTCGACCCGCTGTAAATTTTTGAATGCACGCGTCCAGCCGTCCTCCCACACGGAGCTGAATGGCAACATTCACAACAGGTGTTGGAGCCACGAATGAACCGATATGTTACTCAAGTCATCCAACTCTATGCCTCTCTGTGACTCCTCCAGTTTCTCCTGCAATCGGCCAGCACTCTGCAACACTACGAGCTCGGCAATCACTTCCTTCTGAGAACAGAAGCCTCACAATTGCCAGGTGCTTTTGATCGGTCGTCTAAGTGTTGTTACGTGAACCGCATCACACATTAATTGGTCCTAAACACCAATTTTAATGGAGGAAGAAATGTCTCGGTTGAGTCACATGGCTCAAACGCCTTTGGTGAATTTTGTGGTTTGGCTCCTCGTTAGGCAACAGCAATGTGCAAAAAGTCCATTGCACAGTTGGGCCATCTGTATTTTCAACAAAAAGTTCACGTTAAATTTAGCATTTTAGGTTTACTCTTTAAATATCACCAAAGAGCCCCAACTTGTTGAGTCGCGTGTGCGCTACGCTTCCGATAAAAATAACAAAGCAGCTCTTCAAGTGAAAGGCGGGCGGGGGGGGAGATGCGCGCATTTGCTTCCTCGAGCCGCAGAGGTTGCTTTGGACAATATTAATAACTCCCGATTACAGCTGACCTGATAGGATTTCATCATCCGCGCAGCGCTCTCGCCCCGAGCCGTGCACGCGCGACGTGACGGACAAGTGCACATGGTCGACGTTTTATGTCCTCCTTTATTGATGCCGGCCTGCAATCGAGATGCGAGGAATGACTTCATGCGAATGTTCTCGCGTGTGTCGGGTTATTCCTTCATCCCTTCTAACGAGATTTTGGCGCGCGCCTCGACGCGGAGAATCCCGGACTTTCCGACAGTCTTGCGGGCTCGAAACGGTGTTTTTGAACCCGAATGAGCCGGTGACTGAAACTACTCTGCGGTGTCGTGAAGCGGCCCGCCCGCGCTACGCTCGTCTGACGCCATTTCAAGCTCGTCCGCCTCATTCTTTGCCCCAAAAATAGGGGCATGCGTGGGGTTAGGGGTTAAGGGCTTGTGGCTAGCATCTGTCGTTGCTGGCTTGCGATGCGTGGCGGGAATGCAATCGTGGCAAAGAGAGAGCGTAAGGGAGAGTGAGTCGGTCTGTGTCGATGTACATGTGTGTGTGTGTGTGTGTGTCTTTGTGTGTGTGTGTGTATGGAAAGTAAGACCAACAGCTGGTGGTTTGGATCTGGAGAAATGACAAGCATGCAGTAGTAGCCTGGAGACAGGGACACTGCTGCTGCTGCTGCTGTGTGTGTGTGTGACATTTATAGCCTATTTTACAGACTATAGTTCAAGTCAAATATGAAATAAAGATTGGACATACTTTAAATTGTTGACATACTCTGGACCACCTTGTCTTGTTCTACATACATACATACACATATACAAAGGGTGCGAACCTTCCTTTGATGGTGAGACAAAGGGTGGAAAATGTGAGCAAAAAAAAAAATCGAATGTGTTTTCCAAAATAAACAGTGCAGTAGTTTGGTCGACACATCAGAGCAACACGGTGCTAATGATACTTTATTTTCTACAATGTATATTTTTGTTCATTTATCTGTGCCGGTGAAAGACACAATTAAATGCTCTTACTTAAAATGATAAATGAGCCATAATTAACCTGCATTTCCACTTCATTTATATTTATTTTTAGCGTTGGGCTGTGACTCTTTTTTTTTTTGGCTGTGACTTTTTTTTAGGAAACACCGGAATAGTTGACATTTACAGTCAAATCTAATGTGGCTACTTTCTCTTTACCTGCACTGGAAGTATTTCCTTCCTTGAGGAGAGACCAGCGACTTCCTGCGGTCACCTGAAGTGACTTTGGTGTGACTTTTGACCCCGCTGCTTCGTCTTACGTCAGAAACGGCAAAATCAAAGCACCAGCGCGCACTAATGATAGCCTTCAGACATGACACAGGGCACGCTGGCATCAAGCAGGCACTACGTGCATGTCAGCCGCTCCTTATGGTAATGTTCTCTATGTTTGCATTGTGGAACTCAGGAAGGCTGCCTCGCTAATTACGCAACGTGAGAATAATTAGACATTTAAAATGAATGTGAAATATGTCGCAGCCTGTGAGACAACAACCCAAAAAAAAAAAAAAAAACTGCACTGACTGGCTCAGAGTTTTTTTTGACACTTTAAGTGTCGTCCTCAGGCAAATCTTCTCATAGGTTTTCTGATGTTTCAACCACAAGCAGGAAGTGACCTTCACACTGACTTTTACCGTCAGCAGCGAAAGTGGGCCCGCTGATATTTGCCAACATGGTTGCGTGAGTGATTTAACGAGGCAATGCATAAGAGGCATCAAAGATCCTACTTTTAATTTTCATTGACCCTGAGAGGTATGAAAAATGACTTTGAGCTGTCATCATATTGTAGCTTGTTTGGTTAAAAAAAAATAAAATAAAATAAATAAAAACTGCTGTATTAGTTTCCCATCAGGTTTGCAGTCAGGTGGGAAATAGACACAGAACTTGGCAGACATTTTTTTAATGTTTTTGAAAATCTATGAACTAGTGAGGCGGCATGGCGAGTCATGGTTGAAGTGTCTGCCTCACTGTCACGAGATCTGGGTTTGAATCTACAGTGGAAGTCATCACGAGTTAGTTTTGCCTAATACTTAAATGGAAACAGCCTGGTATAATAAATGCTTCCTATTAAATATAATAGGATATCCTATTAAATATAAAAACATAAATAAATACAAATTATAAACAAAAAAAAAAAAAAAAAACAGGCAACACCAACCATGATCAGATTTTTTGTGACAAAGCATTGTCGAAGCATGGCATGCTGGTGGTTGGCACACCTGCATCACTGTCAGGGGATCTCGGTTCGAATCTCTGCTTGTGTGGGTTCTCCCCGGCTAATTTGCTTTGCTCCCATATTCCCAAAACATGCACTTCAGGTTCATCCGAGATATGAGTTTGAATGGTCGTTTGCCTATTTGTGCCCTGCGAGTGGTGCGGACCGCGCCTCTCGCCCCGCGTCAGTCTCCCGCTAATAGGAAGCCCAGAAACACGTGGAGCAGTCAACAAAGACTTTGAATGAATGAATAGCTCCGGTTCGAACAATAGACCACATTGTCACATTAATAACAGCAGTACACGTTGCCATCCAAACTTGCTCTTATGTTGTTTTGTTATGTTTTGTAATGTAATGGCACACCTACGTCTCGCTATGTATACAGTATATACAGCATGAGCCTCCATCGTTAATTGCTGGGTAAGACATCACGGTGCTTGCGCAGAAAGCAAATACGCACAGTACCTCTGAATTGACTCATGATTTCAGATTTACACCCAAGTGAGCGTCCATTTTCTTTTTTGTTTGTTTGCTAAAGCACCAAAGGCAGCTATTTGTTTCCTTTCCCCTTCATGAAGAGCGAATAAATGAAGATGAGTATTTATAATGGTGGATAATTTGGTGCTGATTCAAACTGGGACGGTTCAGTCCACTGTAGCAGTGGAGAACTGCATCGCTTGATTTCCGAGGGCGTCTCCGTGCAGCGTTTTCATCTTGTTCAATGGATTTTATATCACTGTAACGTTTGGACACCCCCGGCCAAGGCTAATGGAATTCTAGTCAATATCCATCCATCAATCCATTTTCTGATCCGCTTTATCCTCACAAGGGTTGCAGAGCATGCTGGAGCCTATCCCAGCTGTCTTCGGGCAGTAGGCGGGGGACACTCTGAACTGGTTGCCAGCCAATCGCAGCGTCAATATTTGTATTGATTTATTGTATTATCTAGCTCATTGTGCCCCATTCGAAACGGCAAAACCTGATATGTCGGGACCGCCGTAAAGCGAGGACCCCCTATACAGTCTAATGATGGTAGAAAGCAGCAATTTTCCGGACACGGTGCGGTCAAACTTACTGTTCCAGAAGCTGGTCGTATCGCGACTGAGTATCCCTCTCGGCAGCAAACGCCCGCTCTTTCTCCAGCACGGCGTTGTCTCTGGCCTCGCGCAGGTTTCTACCCAACGAAGACCAGTTAGGACTCTTGGAACACGGAGAGTGAACCAATGACGCTTGAGGATGCCGCACCTGTTCTCCCTCTCGTACATCTCCCTGGATGTTCTCTGCAGGTTATCGATTTCCTGACCGGTCTTCAGTCGGATGTTCTCGAGCTCGTCTCTCAGCTTCCGCTCATACTCGGACTTGTGGTGATCGCTGCAACGGAAAGCAAAAAGAAGGCCATGACGTGAAGTGTTTGTGCGGCTACTTGAGGCTAAAAAGCGGCAGATGCTAAACCTGGATGTGACATATTTCTCATAGGCATCTTCTCGGGCCTTCTTGGTGTCCTCCAGTTGCACCTGGAGCAGGTACACCAGCAGTTAGACGTGGCTCGGCGATTACGTAAGGCGCCGACGTTGTCCGAGTAAAAACCTGCAGGCGCTCCAGCCGGTCTTCCTCGTGTGCGCAGCGAATGCTCAGCTCCATGTTCTGTCTGTGCAGGTACTCCTTGTCCTTCTGCAGCAGCGTCACTGACTGCTGCAACGTCGCCATCTGTCGGGCAAAAACAACACCGCAGGGAGGCGAGAGTCAACTACAGCAGGGGCTCACAAACTTTTTGGGGATCCCTCACAGGAGAGAAACTGTTCCAAGGGCCCTTCATAATGTAAATGCCAATTCAACGTAACTATCTGTATGACTAAGTGTCGTAGGAATTAAAAAGTTGCCTGCTTTCAAAGGAAAAAAAACCCTGAAATACATTTATGTTTGTTGGAGAAAAAAGTGGTGCATTTGGTTAAAGTACACCAAGTATGAAGGAAGTCTCTTGGCCTGGCTTATCCTCGAACATCTGGATTTTGGCCTGTTTTACTACAGTTTCTCCTCTTTCTTCTCCCCCTCCTCTCTTGATTTGTTAGCCCTTTACAGTCAAGATTTTGCATCGACCAACCGAGACAACCAAACAGGTGTATGATTGGGTTGGTGTTCGGCTTAGGGCGACGCACCTCTTTGCTGAGGGTCTCTCGCTCCCTGCCGAGGGCCGCGTGAGTCAAGTTCAGGGTCTCGAATCTTCCCTTCACTTCCTTCAGTTCGACCTCCAAGATGTCACGCTCGCTAATGAACACAATATATTACACACACGTCCATTTACTGTACATATGCGATGATGATAAAGCAGGGGGGTCAAATTCATTTTTGTCGCGGGCCACTTCAGAGTTACGTCTTCCCTTGGAGGGCCGATGGCTCAGGCACATTTTCAGAAATAGACAGCTAGCAAAACTTGGTTGTTTCACTTGATACTTGATGGGCAGGCACTCAAGAGACCCCAACGATTTGCACACAAGCAATTTCAAAGCTGTCAGTCACCGTTTGATGTTGGGGTAGTTTTCACGCCGGTAGTCCCCATCTTGGATGTGCTGTTTGGTGTCAGCCAGCTCCAACGTCAGTCGCTGGCTCCTTAGCTCCAGCTCCGTGCGGAGACGGCGTTCCTCCTCGTAGCTCTGAGCGCACGTAGAATACATATCACGGGATAAAAATATCTCATGCAGGAAGAAGAAGAGGCAGAGAAGGTCTCCAACTAAGCTTCAGTAATCATCATTGTCACGTAAAGTCGAGAAAATCTATGCCAGTGAGTAGTGCTAGACCCTCAGTTTGTTCTGCACTGTGTGTATTAAAGCAGGATTTGTTTGAAGGTTTCTAGTTACTGTAACATACATGCTGATTTCTGTTAGCCCATCTATGGCATTTCAAATACGAGCTATCTATCTATCTAGCCATCCATCCATATCACTGTGCAGTACCTCCATCAGGGCCTTCATTTGTGTCCGCTGCATCTCTAGGTCTTCGCTCAAAGTGTCTTTCTTCACACTCAGCTCAGCCACCTGAGCCCGTAACGGAGTCACCGCTTCGTAAAAGCGCACCTGCAAACATGATGAAAACGGTCAACAACATGTCGGAAATTTGGTAAAAGGAGTACAAAGCTACTCACAGCAACAAATTCCTGAATGGACACGGTCTCTTCGGGGAGGTCGCGAAGCTCCAGGTAGCGCTCGTGCGACATGTCCAAGTCCCGGAGAGAGCGGCGGAGCTCTCCAGCCTTCTCCCGCATCTGCAGGTTGGCCTCCTCCAGCTGCTGCTGCCGGAGCAGGATTTCATCCATTTCCTTCTTGCGCAGAGCCTGCTGCTTTCTGAAGACACACACGTTTCGTATTCAATACGATGATAGCATAGCGCTGTGTTCCGAGTGAACAGACGCCCACCTGTTGTCCTCCTGAGCGAGCTTCAGCTCACTGTCCAGCCTCAGCGCCAACACTTGTTTCTGATGGAGAGCATCATTCAGTCTCTCGTCCAGCTCCTCCACCTATCGGACAGCAACAGAACACTACTCAAACCCACATAGGAGCATTCAAATATGACTTCTTATCTCAAGAATAAACAACTTTATTATTGTAAGACTGTGATTCTGATCTAAAAAAAATGTACTTTATTCAGAGCCGTCCATAACTTTTCGCACCACTGATTAAGATGCAGGGGCCACGGTGGTCGACTGCTTATCATGTCGGCCTTACAGTGCAGAGGTACACGGTTCAATTCCGGCTCCGGCGTTTGCATGTTCTCCCCGTGCCTGCGTGGCTTTTCTGCGGGTACTCCGGTTTTGTCCCACATTCCAAAAACACACATGGCAGGTTGATGGAACACAATGGAAAGCTTGAGTTACCTTGGACATGTAGTCGGCCTTCAAGTTATCTATGGCGAGGTTTTTCTGGGAAAGCTCGATTTTCAGCAGCTGGACGTTCTGAAGCAGCTCCTTCCTCTCGATCAGCTGTCGGATGAGCTTCTGCGACCCCGGCCGCACCTCGTCCGACGAGGAGACATCCTCGGCGGTGGGCACGGTGGTCTCCAGGCTGACATCCTCCGACTCCAGGTCCAGAGAGCTGGAGACGTTGGCGGCCCTCGACTTTGGCTTCTTCGGGGGCATGTTCTTTTTCCACCCCGGCTGGCTAGCTAATGCTAAAAAGCTAAGCGTCAATATGTCCAGAACTAGGTTGTGGAACGACAAAGTTAACTGGCCGAAACGAGCTCGAGTGGCGCGCCATGTTAATTGTATTTACATACCTTCTTTCAAATTATGTAAGCACCTAACAAGACGCCATAAAGAGGAAAGCTGTCAGAAACACACTTCGTTATTTTCAAGGGTCCCGCTTCGTTCCACAACAGTCCCAGGGTACATCTTATTTGCCGCTATGTATGTGCTCGATATGAGTAAACTAACGTTGAAACAGAGGAAGGACGACCGAGGCCGATAAGATCCTGAAAAACTGAGATGAAACGTACCCTTGCGTTGACGTTGACTTGTTACTTGAAGTGCCCCCTGTTGTAATATACGCGCAGTACAACTCTTTTTGTCTATCCGTTTGGAAAGCCGAGCGTTTACTCATTATTAATATGCAATTAGAGGTCGTACTATTAGGCCAAATGTTGTACTACTAGTAAGTTAAGAGTAACACAGCGTCGTTCTGCTAAATTGTGCGTTCTAGCGCGTCATAACAAATGCACTACTATCTTCAATCGACGGAGGCGCTGTGTGATTCGATACCGCCTGCTACCAGCCGTGTTTGCGCTTCGTCGGCTTTCTTGAGATGGCCGACCAAAACTATCTCCTTGGTACTTTGTTCTCACCCAACGTGTAATATTTTGGTTTGTTATGCACACTAAATTCGACTGTCATATGTTGCAGTTTATACGCGAACGTCATTAAACAGAACAAAGTCAACGTGAATACCGTTCGTTACGTGTGTAAAGAATGTTTATTGTCAAGACTTGCGGTTTGTTTTAGTCGGCCCACAGAACGGCGAAACACATCCTCACATGGGACGTTCAGTTTTTACTTTGAATCAAATGATAGCCGAAAACGCTTAAGTTTTACTCTTTTTAAATACCCACGTCGTCATCATGTTGAAATCTAAAACCTTCGTTAAGAAGACTCGGGGCGGCCGGGTGATGAAAATAGTGCGCGAGCATTATCTGCGAGACGACATTTGGTGCGGAAGCGAGGCGTGCGACCAGTGCCGCCAGGAGTCCACTGTGCTGCAGAGAGAAGCATGCATCGAGAGCAACTTGTGCTCGTTTTCGCATTACCTCGTCCCCGACACCAATGTGGTGTTGCATCAGGTATGAGAGCGGCAAAGACAGAAAAACATTCTGGTGTTGTATCAGGCTGTCATTCGAGCTTGCAAACCAAACAAGGAAGGCAGAATTTGTAAGCATTACCATTGTTTCGCTCTGCTTCTGTGATGATATGCTGCTAAATTTAGTCTAATTTGTAGTTGAACCTGAATTGCCAAGTGTATGACACACAAACACTATGAAAAGTTGAGTACAATGAATATGAATTTCTCTTCAACGTTAAATTAAAAAACGTATCGAGATAAGAAACAATTCTATAAAATGCAATGCAAATGTACTTTAAACCCACCTCCCCATTTTAAATACAACTCAATTGAAGTTAGCCAGTAAAAAAATGTACTCCCCTTTCACAAAAGGAAAAAAAAAATGAAACAAAAGATAATTAAACATTGTGCATTTAAACACCAAACAATTCAACAGAACCATATTATTTAGTCTCACAGAAGTCTACTCGTTCAATGCTATCTCGTAATGCCAAACTCCGTAGACAGGCGAACAAATTAGCACAGATATTACGCTCATAATGAATTTTCCAACAACCGCACATTATTTTGGTATCCCACAGATCGATGTTTTGGAGGACCCCGTGATTTGCAACGTGGTGATCCTCCAGACCGTTCTGCAGGAAGTACGCCACCGCAGCGCGCCGGTCTACAAACGTCTCAAGGATCTCATCCACGAGGAGGAAAGACACTTCTACACATTTACCAACGAGCACCACAGGTAGCAAAGTGCATCACCACAACTCTCTTTTGGCTTCTCCTTTGGACAGGATTATTAGTTTCCTTTTATTGCTACAGAGAGACATTCATCGAACGCGAACCGGGGGAGAGCGCCAACGACCGTAATGACCGAGCTATCCGTGTGGCGGCCAAGTGGTATAGCGAGCACCTGGCAAAGCCCGATGACCCCAAGCTGGTGCTCCTAACTAATGACGTCGCTAATAAGCAGAAGGCACAAGAGAGCGGTCTGTTGGTGTACAAATGTAAGCTTTTTCGTCGAACCTTTTAGAATTGCCAGATTGCAGTGATAATCGCGTACCATGGCGTCCTTTGTTCCCACGCCAGTCGAGGAGTACGTCAAGGGCCTGATCGCGAATCCCGAGCTCGTGGATCGCCTCGCCTTGTCAAATGATGACAAGGTAAGCAAATGAGTTCCTCATGGATTTTTCAGGAGTTTTCGTGGCAGTTGTTACAGCCTAAAATCACAACAGATGTTGCGGCATTCTTGCGAACGTTACATGGCCAAACCCTGAAAGCAGGTGAGCTGTGATCGGCCGTTACCTGAACCCTGAGGTGCCCGTACTACACTTTGATAATCACTGCTTAGAGAAGGAATGACTTACTTTTTATACGAGTGGCAAACATGCCTCTGTCACTTTTATTTCTCGGTAGTAAAGCGTTTTGCAACGAATGATTAAAATGGCAAAGTCGCGCATAATTCTTAGGAATGAGTTCAAACAGCTTGAATTGTGGCAATTGCGACATTGCAAATGGCCTCTTTCCCGCCCTCAGAACGACATCGCCAGCAGTAGGGTGTTATTCCCCGAGCATCTCCCGCTGTCCAGGATCCAGGCTGGCATCAAAAGCGGCTCCTTCCTCCAGGGGACCTTCAAGGCCAGCAGGGACAACTATCTGGAGGCCAAAGTTTTTATCCAAAAAGATGAGGAAGACGGCACAGAGGTATGTCACCCAAGTGCTTTTACATATCCATAGCAACATGTGCACAATATCTTGCCTTTAAGTGTATTTCTGTGTTGCGCTCACTTTTTCACAACTCTCCAGGTTTTGATCCAGGGCCTTCAGCACCTCAACAGAGCCGTGCACCAAGATGTGGTCGCCGTGCAGTTGTTGCCGCGCAGTCAATGGGCGGCGCCGTCTTCCGTCATGCTGCAGGATGTGGGCTCGGCCAAAGACGACACCACCACCGAAGAAGAGGAGCAGGAGGAGGATGCTGTAAGTTGCTGTTGGGCGCAGTCCGGTTATGAGTCTACTTCTCTGCTTCATGACGGTCTCTCTGTTCGTGAGCAGCTGATAAGTTGCGGAGGGGATGTCGACAGGAAGCCGACAGGCAAGATAGTGGGGATCATCAAGAGGAACTGGAGGCCCTTCTGTGGCATGCTCAACATCTCCCAAATCAAAGAGGTAATGTCAGACTACGGCGGGGCAATATCGCCTGAAAAATATATATTTTTTTCTTCTCACAAAAAGCAGCTACCCAGCAATTATGAAATGGGCCCAACAGCTGTTGCCTTCTGTAGGCATAAAAAGCAGGACTGAAGAGGATTTGACATTCAGTCATCTTCAGCAAAAACTGGGCTGGTCTTGAAATACGTCCTGTTTTTGTTCTTCTTTCAAGCCCATTGTGCTGCCATCTAGTAACAGACAGTGGAATGACACCAAAAGTAAACAGAAGTCGTGGTTTCTTGTGGCTAAGGAAATACTGTATGTCGAAGTAAAGGGAGGAGCTTCTATTAGCCATGTCTAATAGATTGGTAGCGCTCTGTCAAAAGCGCTTCAAAGCTTACACCTTTGGCCACGATGTGTATGGTAGCGTTAAGCACAGCGGATTCTGTGAAAATCTGTGATAAAGAGAGGCCATACGAAGTGGGTTCTTCTTTTTCCTTTTCCTTTAGTCGACACGCCACCTTTTCACGCCGGCCGACCGCTGCATTCCACGCATCCGCATCGAAACCCGCCAAGCGTCCACATTAGCAGGCCAGAGGATCATGGTGGCCATCGACGGCTGGCCCAAAGACTCCAGATATCCAAATGTGCGTTGTTGCCATCGCCGTTGACCTCATTTAAGTCCTGCATGTGATCTGGATGATAAATTACAATTGAGGTTTCCTTTTCGTTAGGGTCACTTTGTCCGTACTTTGGGCGTGGCGGGGGAAAAGGAGACGGAAGAAGAAGTCTTGCTGCTGGAGCACGACGTTCCCCATCAGGCCTTCTCTCAGGCCGTGCTTAGTTTTCTTCCCAAAATGCCATGGAGCATCAAACCGGAGGTAAATGACATCTTTCCAATCTTTGTTCCTGTCAATAAATACATATATATCCCAACCACTGATTTCAAATTTGTGTCTCAATACTTTTGCCTACGTGTGCCTGCAGGACATCGTGGGCAGGGAGGACCTGAGGCATCTGACAGTGTGCAGCGTGGATCCTCCCGGATGCACGGACATCGACGACGCGCTCCACTGTAGAGAGCTGGCCAACGGCAACTTTGAGGTAGAGGTCTCGTACGCACGCTCCCGTATTTGTCACGCGCCCCGTCTGCGATCTCGGGTGTGTGTTTTTGCCGTAGGTGGGAGTCCACATCGCCGATGTCACTCACTTCATCAGACCCGGAAACGCTCTGGACAAAGAAGCCGCCAACCGAGGCACGACCGTTTACCTCTGTGGGAAAGTGAGGACAATCCAAGTGCTGACTGACCAAAGCACGCATGCACAAATTCCGTCAGTCGTCATGCCTTAGCGGAGCAATTTACTTGCGTGTGTTGCGTCCCACAGAGGATCGACATGGTTCCCGAGCTGCTCAGCTCCAATCTGTGTTCGCTCCGCTCCAACGTGGACAGGTTTGGCTTTCCACGCCGCCGTCTCTCCAATTATTTCCGACCGACTGACTTTTTTTTTTCCCAAGGCTGTCTTTCTCGTCTATCTGGGAGATGAATCAAAAGGCTGAAGTTGTGAAAACGCGCTTCACGAAAAGTGTCATCAACTCTAAGGTATGTCATGAAGTAAACATGCAAACGAGCACAGCGTCGTACTTGCCTGTATTGATTTTTCTGGTGCAAATGTGTGGAATAGTCCATTGAGTGCATTGAGTCCATTGGTCTGTAAGCCACCCCCGACCGACTAAATAGAAAAATCGGAACTTTTTTCGCACTGTCAGACAACTGGGAGAAAACCAAAATGGCTCATCAAAAACTTCATGAACAGTCAACGTGATTTTGGCGAGCTAAATCGAAACTGAGACTCGATGACAACCTGACACTCATGCGATCAGGAATATCCGTAAATAAGCCTCCGGTTGCAGTTTAAAAAAAAAAAAAAAAAACGAAACTAAACTAAAATTTCCCTGCTTGTTGTCCGAATTTTATGGGACTTGATCGTAACGCCGTCTCCTGATTCAATTCAGGCATCTCTGACGTATGCTGAGGCCCAGATGAGGATCGATGATACGGGCAAGAATGACGACATCACCAAAAGCCTGCGCGGCCTCAACAAGCTCGCCAAGATCCTGAAGAAGCGCAGGATTGAGAAAGGGTGAGGTCTGCCGAGAAAACGGGATTACTTATACTCGGTTAATGACAAAAATGTCATTCATCATCTCCTTCAGGGCGCTGACGTTGTCCTCCCTGGAGGTCCGCTTTCACATGGACAGCGAAACCCACGACCCCATTGAGCTTCAGACCAAAGAGCTCATGTAAGTACTTCCAAAAACCGCAGGGGAGCCATGGTCGCTTTCTGCCCTTCACCGAGCGGGTTAGTCAGCCACAAATGCAAAATGAAAACACTCGCAAGGAAAAGGGGATAACTGATCGGAAATGCAAGTCAATGGAGTTGATTGTCGCACTCACTGGACTGGAATCTCTTGCTCACATCAGGGAGACCAACTCCATGGTGGAGGAGTTCATGTTGCTGGCCAACATTTCAGTCGCCCAGAAGATCTACGACGAGTTTGCCGAGTGCGCCCTGTTGAGGAAACATCCGGCACCGCCGCCTTCCAACTATGACATTCTCCTGAAGGCAGCAAAGTCCAAGGTGGGTCAAGAACTTGTTCATGGGCTTGCACACGTTAACAACTAATAAAATGAAGACATAGATAACGACCGGGTGTCTCATCATTGGTTGCAAAAAAGTCTGGCCGAAACGAGTTCGAGTGGCGCGCCAGGTTAATTGTATTCACATATCTTCTTTCAAATTATGTAAGCACCAAACAAGACGCCATAAAGAGGAAAGCTGTCAGAAACACACTTCGTTATTTTCAAGGGTCCCGCTTCGTTCCACAACAGTGCCAGGGTACATCTTATTTGCCACTATCTATATCCTCGATATGAGTAAACTGACGTTGAAACAGAGGAAGGACGACCGAGGCCCATAAGATATCTAAAAAATGAGATGAAACGTACCCTTACGTTGACGTTGACTTGTTACTTGAAGTGCCCCCTGTTGTAATATACGCGCAGTACAACTCTTTTTGTCTATCCGTTTGGAAAGCCGAGCGTTTACTCATTATTAATATGCAATTAGAGGTCGTACTATTAGGCCAAATGTTGTACTACTAGTAAGTTAAGAGTAACACAGCGTCGTTCTGCTAAATTGTGCGTTCTAGCGCGTCATAACAAATGCACTACTATCTTCAATCGACGGAGGCGCTGTGTGATTCGATACCGCCTGCTACCAGCCGTGTTTGCGCTTCGTCGGCTTTCTTGAGATGGCCGACCAAAACTATCTCCTTGGTACTTTGTTCTCACCCAACGTGTAATATTTTGGTTTGTTATGCACACTAAATTCGACTGTCATATGTTGCAGTTTATACGCGAACGTCATTAAACAGAACAAAGTCAACGTGAATACCGTTCGTTACGTGTGTAAAGAATGTTTATTGTCAAGACTTGCGGTTTGTTTTAGTCGGCCCACAGAACGGCGAAACACATCCTCACATGGGACGTTCAGTTTTTACTTTGAATCAAATGATAGCCGAAAACGCTTAAGTTTTACTCTTTTTAAATACCCACGTCGTCATCATGTTGAAATCTAAAACCTTCGTTAAGAAGACTCGGGGCGGCCGGGTGATGAAAATAGTGCGCGAGCATTATCTGCGAGACGACATTTGGTGCGGAAGCGAGGCGTGCGACCAGTGCCGCCAGGAGTCCACTGTGCTGCAGAGAGAAGCATGCATCGAGAGCAACTTGTGCTCGTTTTCGCATTACCTCGTCCCCGACACCAATGTGGTGTTGCATCAGGTATGAGAGCGGCAAAGACAGAAAAACATTCTGGTGTTGTATCAGGCTGTCATTCGAGCTTGCAAACCAAACAAGGAAGGCAGAATTTGTAAGCATTACCATTGTTTCGCTCTGCTTCTGTGATGATATGCTGCTAAATTTAGTCTAATTTGTAGTTGAACCTGAATTGCCAAGTGTATGACACACAAACACTATGAAAAGTTGAGTACAATGAATATGAATTTCTCTTCAACGTTAAATTAAAAAACGTATCGAGATAAGAAACAATTCTATAAAATGCAATGCAAATGTACTTTAAACCCACCTCCCCATTTTAAATACAACTCAATTGAAGTTAGCCAGTAAAAAAATGTACTCCCCTTTCACAAAAGGAAAAAAAAAATGAAACAAAAGATAATTAAACATTGTGCATTTAAACACCAAACAATTCAACAGAACCATATTATTTAGTCTCACAGAAGTCTACTCGTTCAATGCTATCTCGTAATGCCAAACTCCGTAGACAGGCGAACAAATTAGCACAGATATTACGCTCATAATGAATTTTCCAACAACCGCACATTATTTTGGTATCCCACAGATCGATGTTTTGGAGGACCCCGTGATTTGCAACGTGGTGATCCTCCAGACCGTTCTGCAGGAAGTACGCCACCGCAGCGCGCCGGTCTACAAACGTCTCAAGGATCTCATCCACGAGGAGGAAAGACACTTCTACACATTTACCAACGAGCACCACAGGTAGCAAAGTGCATCACCACAACTCTCTTTTGGCTTCTCCTTTGGACAGGATTATTAGTTTCCTTTTATTGCTACAGAGAGACATTCATCGAACGCGAACCGGGGGAGAGCGCCAACGACCGTAATGACCGAGCTATCCGTGTGGCGGCCAAGTGGTATAGCGAGCACCTGGCAAAGCCCGATGACCCCAAGCTGGTGCTCCTAACTAATGACGTCGCTAATAAGCAGAAGGCACAAGAGAGCGGTCTGTTGGTGTACAAATGTAAGCTTTTTCGTCGAACCTTTTAGAATTGCCAGATTGCAGTGATAATCGCGTACCATGGCGTCCTTTGTTCCCACGCCAGTCGAGGAGTACGTCAAGGGCCTGATCGCGAATCCCGAGCTCGTGGATCGCCTCGCCTTGTCAAATGATGACAAGGTAAGCAAATGAGTTCCTCATGGATTTTTCAGGAGTTTTCGTGGCAGTTGTTACAGCCTAAAATCACAACAGATGTTGCGGCATTCTTGCGAACGTTACATGGCCAAACCCTGAAAGCAGGTGAGCTGTGATCGGCCGTTACCTGAACCCTGAGGTGCCCGTACTACACTTTGATAATCACTGCTTAGAGAAGGAATGACTTACTTTTTATACGAGTGGCAAACATGCCTCTGTCACTTTTATTTCTCGGTAGTAAAGCGTTTTGCAACGAATGATTAAAATGGCAAAGTCGCGCATAATTCTTAGGAATGAGTTCAAACAGCTTGAATTGTGGCAATTGCGACATTGCAAATGGCCTCTTTCCCGCCCTCAGAACGACATCGCCAGCAGTAGGGTGTTATTCCCCGAGCATCTCCCGCTGTCCAGGATCCAGGCTGGCATCAAAAGCGGCTCCTTCCTCCAGGGGACCTTCAAGGCCAGCAGGGACAACTATCTGGAGGCCAAAGTTTTTATCCAAAAAGATGAGGAAGACGGCACAGAGGTATGTCACCCAAGTGCTTTTACATATCCATAGCAACATGTGCACAATATCTTGCCTTTAAGTGTATTTCTGTGTTGCGCTCACTTTTTCACAACTCTCCAGGTTTTGATCCAGGGCCTTCAGCACCTCAACAGAGCCGTGCACCAAGATGTGGTCGCCGTGCAGTTGTTGCCGCGCAGTCAATGGGCGGCGCCGTCTTCCGTCATGCTGCAGGATGTGGGCTCGGCCAAAGACGACACCACCACCGAAGAAGAGGAGCAGGAGGAGGATGCTGTAAGTTGCTGTTGGGCGCAGTCCGGTTATGAGTCTACTTCTCTGCTTCATGACGGTCTCTCTGTTCGTGAGCAGCTGATAAGTTGCGGAGGGGATGTCGACAGGAAGCCGACAGGCAAGATAGTGGGGATCATCAAGAGGAACTGGAGGCCCTTCTGTGGCATGCTCAACATCTCCCAAATCAAAGAGGTAATGTCAGACTACGGCGGGGCAATATCGCCTGAAAAATATATATTTTTTTCTTCTCACAAAAAGCAGCTACCCAGCAATTATGAAATGGGCCCAACAGCTGTTGCCTTCTGTAGGCATAAAAAGCAGGACTGAAGAGGATTTGACATTCAGTCATCTTCAGCAAAAACTGGGCTGGTCTTGAAATACGTCCTGTTTTTGTTCTTCTTTCAAGCCCATTGTGCTGCCATCTAGTAACAGACAGTGGAATGACACCAAAAGTAAACAGAAGTCGTGGTTTCTTGTGGCTAAGGAAATACTGTATGTCGAAGTAAAGGGAGGAGCTTCTATTAGCCATGTCTAATAGATTGGTAGCGCTCTGTCAAAAGCGCTTCAAAGCTTACACCTTTGGCCACGATGTGTATGGTAGCGTTAAGCACAGCGGATTCTGTGAAAATCTGTGATAAAGAGAGGCCATACGAAGTGGGTTCTTCTTTTTCCTTTTCCTTTAGTCGACACGCCACCTTTTCACGCCGGCCGACCGCTGCATTCCACGCATCCGCATCGAAACCCGCCAAGCGTCCACATTAGCAGGCCAGAGGATCATGGTGGCCATCGACGGCTGGCCCAAAGACTCCAGATATCCAAATGTGCGTTGTTGCCATCGCCGTTGACCTCATTTAAGTCCTGCATGTGATCTGGATGATAAATTACAATTGACGTTTCCTTTTCGTTAGGGTCACTTTGTCCGTACTTTGGGCGTGGCGGGGGAAAAGGAGACGGAAGAAGAAGTCTTGCTGCTGGAGCACGACGTTCCCCATCAGGCCTTCTCTCAGGCCGTGCTTAGTTTTCTTCCCAAAATGCCATGGAGCATCAAACCGGAGGTAAATGACATCTTTCCAATCTTTGTTCCTGTCAATAAATACATATATATCCCAACCACTGATTTCAAATTTGTGTCTCAATACTTTTGCCTACGTGTGCCTGCAGGACATCGTGGGCAGGGAGGACCTGAGGCATCTGACAGTGTGCAGCGTGGATCCTCCCGGATGCACGGACATCGACGACGCGCTCCACTGTAGAGAGCTGGCCAACGGCAACTTTGAGGTAGAGGTCTCGTACGCACGCTCCCGTATTTGTCACGCGCCCCGTCTGCGATCTCGGGTGTGTGTTTTTGCCGTAGGTGGGAGTCCACATCGCCGATGTCACTCACTTCATCAGACCCGGAAACGCTCTGGACAAAGAAGCCGCCAACCGAGGCACGACCGTTTACCTCTGTGGGAAAGTGAGGACAATCCAAGTGCTGACTGACCAAAGCACGCATGCACAAATTCCGTCAGTCGTCATGCCTTAGCGGAGCAATTTACTTGCGTGTGTTGCGTCCCACAGAGGATCGACATGGTTCCCGAGCTGCTCAGCTCCAATCTGTGTTCGCTCCGCTCCAACGTGGACAGGTTTGGCTTTCCACGCCGCCGTCTCTCCAATTATTTCCGACCGACTGACTTTTTTTTTTCCCAAGGCTGTCTTTCTCGTCTATCTGGGAGATGAATCAAAAGGCTGAAGTTGTGAAAACGCGCTTCACGAAAAGTGTCATCAACTCTAAGGTATGTCATGAAGTAAACATGCAAACGAGCACAGCGTCGTACTTGCCTGTATTGATTTTTCTGGTGCAAATGTGTGGAATAGTCCATTGAGTGCATTGAG